GCTGCAGCAGTAGCAGCATCAGTAGTAGTACCAGAAGTAGCAGTAGGATATATATATATATATATATATATAATAAAAAGCAGAGTTAAAACCTGTGCATGCATGCAAATAATGCTTGCATGCATCTGCATGCATACAAATAATGCATGCATATGAAAGTGTGTGTGTATGTGTGTATGTGTGTATGTTGATTGCATGCAGTTCTGCTGCACTGAGGGAGACATTATCGGTAGCAGCAGCACGTGGAATGAGTTTAGTAGTAGCAGCCGGGAACCATCGTTGCGACTTCGCATCGGTGTCTGTTGAAGCATGTTTATCTACAAGTGGGGGGGTTAAGGGCTTTCCTGCTGCCTATGGGGACCTCTTTCCTAACCTAATTGCTGTTGCTGCTGTTGCTGCTGACGGACTGCCGACCCGCTTCACAAACTTTGACTCCTCTACTAATCCTAAAATACATGTTCTCGCCCCAGGAGAAAATATCGTTGCATGCAGCGATAAAAATAATCACGGTAATGTATAAAACAATCAATATCAATCAATATCAATAAATATCAATAAATATATATATATGTATATATATGTATATATATATGCATGTATGTATGTATATATATATGTGTATATATATGTATGTATGTATGTACATATACGTCTGTGTTGTAGTTAATATATATATATATATATATATTTAAAAATTATATCTTCAATATACGCCTAAGTATATGTATGCGTGTACTTAATTTGTTTTATTTATTTATTTATTTATTTATTTATTTTTGTTTATCTGTATGCATGCACTTACAGTAGATATAATACCCTTACTATCCAACTTTCTTCTTCTTCGTCTTTCTTTATATAAATGCAATCAGCATATATATATAATATATAAAATATATCTATGTATAAATTTAATATAAATGAATCTATATCGATATAGGTTTGTATATATAGATAGGCTTGTATATATATATATATATGGATATATATATATGCATATTACATATCCCTATATATATATATATATATACATATGTATGTATGTATATATATACATATATATATATACATATATATATATATATGATTTATATTGTTTGTGTTCAGGGTATATAAAGGCGAGCGGAACGTCCTTTGCTACTCCAATTGTAACAGCATTAGTAGGGCTTCTTCGCTATGAAAACCCGAGCATGAGTGCAGAAGAAGTAAAGGAAGTGCTTATTCATTCTTGTTATAAATCTCAGCATGCAATATTAGGAAGAGTAGCAAAGTGCGGTGGTACTGTAAGCGCTACTAAAGCATTTAAACGTGCAGGGCTTCTACCGACGCATAAAAAAAGAAAAAAAACTAAGAAAAAAAAACATTAAATGAAAATTAAACAAACAAATACACACAAAAATAACAATATAGCAGGTGCATGTACACCACACGGCCTATTTTTCTTATCTTTCACTCACTGTACACTCCAAATTAATTATATATTTATTTGCATAACTTATTTTTCTTGCCCTTTGCAATATTCTTCTCATTTTTACTCTATCCATGACGAACTCCAACGAGTTAATTTTATCAAGGACTTACGGTTTAGGGTTTAGGGTTTAGGGTTTAGACAGCTTCAGGGTCCCAGGACAGCCTTAACTGGTTTCTAGCTTTTGTTTGCGTGTTCTGTATCTGTTTGGATATAAGTGCTGTTCATATATATATGATTTATATTGTTTGTGTTCAGGGTATATAAAGGCGAGCGGAACGTCCTTTGCTACTCCAATTGTAACAGCATTAGTAGGGCTTCTTCGCTATGAAAACCCGAGCATGAGTGCAGAAGAAGTAAAGGAAGTGCTTATTCATTCTTGTTATAAATCTCAGCATGCAATATTAGGAAGAGTAGCAAAGTGCGGTGGTACTGTAAGCGCTACTAAAGCATTTAAACGTGCAGGGCTTCTACCGACGCATAAAAAAAGAAAAAAAACTAAGAAAAAAAAACATTAAATGAAAATTAAACAAACAAATACACACAAAAATAACAATATAGCAGGTGCATGTACACCACACGGCCTATTTTTCTTATCTTTCACTCACTGTACACTCCAAATTAATTATATATTTATTTGCATAACTTATTTTTCTTGCCCTTTGCAATATTCTTCTCATTTTTACTCTATCCATGACGAACTCCAACGCGTTAATTTTATCAAGGATTTACGGTTTAGGGTTTAGGGTTTAGGGTTTAGGGTTTAGACAGCTTCAGGGTCT